ATTACCACAATCTACGTGTGGTTTCTTTTTAGTTATGTCTCATTAACTTCAAATAAAAATTTAATTGCAAATTAAACCTGGTTTTTTAATTGTTTTTTTTGAAGGGGGGAAATTAGAGAGAAAAAATAAATTTATTTATTATTCAAACAATATTTAATTTAAATTGTTAAATTTTAATTGTAATTTGTAAAAATTAGAAATTGCAAATAAATTAGAACCAAAATATTGCAAATAAATTGAGGATTACAAAAGAAAAAACAGAAATTGGAACGAAATATGTTAATAAATGTGTGAGGAATATAAAAAATAGACCCTTTCAAATACCAACTTGAGATTTTTAATATTTTTAATGCGATTTTTCAATGGTGGCTTTTATGAGGACACATAAAATTTAATGAAATGTACGTTACGTTTCATATACTGTAGTAAACATTAAATTTAATGTGCTTGTGAGAAAAAAGCTTTCAATATCTATAATAATAATACCTCAAAGTTTAAAACACTCTTTTTTTTGTTCTTTCTTTCTTTCTTAATAAAACTAAAACCAATGAAAATTATATATAGAAAGTACAAATTTTTGAATGTCAAAATACCGATCGCAATCCTTTGAAATTTAAAGAGAAAAAAAAGAACAAATGAAACGAATTCAAAATGCGTAAAAAATTTCATTTTGAGAAACTAATTAGTAATTACAAATTTTTTGTAAATTTTAATTAATTTAACGGTTTGTTGGACTTGTGATATATAAATTTAATCATCAAATATAAAATTTATTTATTATATGTATATGAATTTTAAATTTGTTTATAAAAAATCAAATTTATTTATAAAATATAAAAATTCATAAAATATTGTATAAATGCTTGTTAAAATTAATAGAATATCAGTGAAACAATTTTTAGTATTCCATTGGAATATTTCAAATATTCCCTGCGATAATATTCACAAAATTTTATTAAACTATTTTGATAATTGAAAAATATTTTTAATATTGAAAAAAATATTCACAATTTTTCAATAGAATGAAAATTCCAAAACAATATTCCAAATAAAAAAATTTCGAAACCAAAATATTCCAAATAAAAAATTGCGAATCCGAAATATTCCAAGTAGAATATCCCAAACAGAATATTTCTAGTACTAAATAAATTAAATATTCCTAATTTTTGAATCGGATATTTATAATATTCCACTGGAATATTCCGACTATTGACAATAATTTAGATTAGATTATTTTTAATATTCGAGAAAAATGTCAGTAATATTGAAAAGAATATTTATAGTTTTTTAACAGAATTTTTATAATATTCCAAACGAATTATTTGAATATTTAAATGTGATATTCCAGATATAGAATATTTCGTATATAGAATAATCCAAACAGATTATTTCGTACAAAAATATTCCAAATGGAATATTTCGTATAAAAATATTCCAAATGGAATATTTTGAACAAAAATATTCCAAACTGATTTTTTCCAGTTTAGAATATTCCACACAAGATATTTCAAGATTAAAATATTTCAAATTCGAGTGAATAATATTCCAAATAAAATATTTCATCTATAGAATATTCCAAACAGATTTTTTCGAATATACAATTATCCAAGTAGAATATCAATAAAATATCTTTAATTTATAAAATTCCAAATAAAATATATTTCAAGCTAAATTCGAGTATAAATTATATCAAATAGAATATTCCAAACAGAATATTTCGGGAAAAGAATATTCCAAATAAAATATTTCTAATTCATAATATTCCAAATAGAATATTATGAATACTTAATATTCTAAGTAGAATACTTCGAATAGAAAATATTCCAAATAAATTGTTTTTAATTGAAAATATTACAAATAAAATATTCCAAACAGAATATTTCGAATAGAATATTTTGAGTATAAAATATTCCAAATAGAATATTTCGAGTTTAAAATATTCCAAATCGAATATTTCGAGTTTAAAATATTCCAGTACAGAATATTCCAAATAGAATATTTCGGGTACAAAATTTTCAAAATAAAATATTTGTAATGTTTATATTTGATAATATTTGGAAAAGAATACTTGGAGTTTAGTTTTAAGTTTAAAATTCGAAACGTAATAAATAGAATTTAAAAATAATATTCTAATTTCAGTCTTACAATAAATTATATGAAAATATTCCAAAAATTTTGGAGTAGTTTCGGTATTTTTCAAAAAAAATTTTTTTAGGTATAAAAATTTTTATTTATCAAAATTTTTTATGTAAACAAAAGACAAAATAAAAATATAGAAATAAAAAAATTTTCAAAAGATAAAATAAAGATATAAATAAATGAATAAAAATAAAAAAAATAATTTTTTTTATTTTTATTCATTTATTTATATTTTATTTTGTCTTTTGTTTACTCAAAAAAAATCAAAGATATTACTCAAAATTTCTTTTATTTTTTGAGTAAGAACTTAAAATTTCTAACTTATATTAAAAACTAATAACGAAAATGAACAATTTTAATATATCGCTCTTTCTCTCGCTCGATTCTTTTAAATATAATATAGTTTTAAAAATTTTTTTTCCCCTCTTGTCTCATAATATCTTGATGTTTACAATATATAGACGCAATGAATATGGTGACCTATACGTGAACTAGAAAAATTTTAAGCGCAATATTACGCGAAAATCAGAGGGTTTCATGTATTTAATGTTAGGTGAGGGTATTTGTAATATTTTTATTACTTTATATATATATAGTTGAGTGGAGGAATGCCGCAAAAGTTGGTATTGTTCATGAGCTATATAAGGTCTTTCCAGACACCGGAAAGTTGTAGAACGCGTTTCAATCCTTAGCCAGTAAACATGTGGTTTGTAGTGAGTACTCTTCCTAGTTTTTCATTTTTTGTTTTTCTTTTTTCTCAAATTTTTCATTTCTTTGATTTTTCCTTAAGTTGTTCGCAAATATAGTCACAATATTGTTTGCAATTCGTATGACAATAGAGAAAAAGGAATAATAATAATATTAATAATTTCTGTGGTTTGTGAAGTAAATCCATTGATTCGCGGTAAGGATGGTAATGTTTTCTTTGCATAGTCGGGGCACAAAAAAAGTATTATACAAATTATGCAACAAGTGTTTGGTATAACTCAATTATTTCACATAGTTTCAAAATTTTATATATTATGTAGTGTTTTATTATGTTGGATTTAATTTTATTGTTATTCTATTTTACATTATATTACATTTTTATTTATTTATTTATTTTTTTACTATATTATATTATATTCTTATTTTGATATTTGTTATAATATTATATTTTGTAATATAAATTATAAATCTTTTTGTTATTATTACTGTTTTATTTTTATTTTTTTATTTTTTTTTTGACAAAACAAGTTTAGGAAAGGAAAAAATGCTTTTTTTTAAAAATGCTTTTACGCATTTTATTATTATTATTATTATTATTATTATTATTATTATTATTATTATTATTATTATTATTATTATTATTATTCTACGATAAGATTGTTTCATCATTTATTTGAAATTTTCTTTAATATTTATTTTGCAATATTTTTAATTAAATGTAGATTAACATATATTTATTTATTTAATTTTATTTTCATTAAATTTATTGTAGGTAGTTTATTAAAATTATAATTTATTTTATTATTAATTTACTTTTTAAATAAGTTAATACGAAAGGGATTGTCCCGTCAATTCCTGTAAATAAATAAATATCTTTTCATTATTATTACTATTAATTAAATAAATAAAATTAATAAATTTTATTTGCAACTTTTTTATTGAGTCAATCATTTTTTGTTTGTATTTATTTTTTAAATGTAAAATTTTATTTCTGGAAATATTTTATTTCCTCATACATTTTTTTAAATTAACTTATTCGTTTAATAACAATATTTGTTTAATTCTTCGCTTTGTAAAATGAATTTTTTTTACATTATCTTTTTCTTTCTTATTTAGAAAATAAAAATTTTCATACAAATTTCAATAAATTTATTTGAAATGTAAATATTGAAAAAATATAAAAATAAAAAGTAAATTTTTGACTGAATTATGTTTTAAAGGAAAATTTCATTTTTATCTTATTTTCTGATTGTCAAATGAATTGCAAAAGAAAATTTTGATTTTATTTATTTTATTTACTAAAAATAAATTTTACTTGTTAGAAATAATTTTATTTGATTGAAATAAAATTTTTATTTAGCACAAATAAATTCTGTTTTGTGGGGGAAATAAAATATTTATTCATTACAAGTAAATATTTATTTATTGGAAATAAATTTTATTTGGATACATATTTTATTTAGTTGAAATAAATTTTGTTGTGTGCGCAAATGAAATATTTATTTGATGCGAATAAATTTTATTTGGTTAAAATAAAAATTTTGTCTGTGCGCAAGTGAAATATTTATTTGATGTGAATAAATTTTATTTGGTTAAAACAAAAATTTTGTTTAGCACAAAATATAAATTCTGTTAAAGGCAGAAATAAAATATTTTTTTGTTATGAATAAAATAATAAATTTTAGTTTGTTCAAATAAAATGTTTATTTAATACAAATAAATTCAGTTTGAACGTAAATAGAATTTTTAATTTGATTCGAGTAGAAATTTTGTCTATAAATAAATATTTTTTTGGCGGAAATAAATTCTTTATTTGATACAATTTAAATTTTATTTGTCACAAAATAATTTTGTTTTTGTAAAATAAAAAATAGAAATGTAAAATAAAATTAAATAAAAAAAGAAGAGAATAAAGAGAAAATAAGAAAATAAAATTGTAAAATAAAATTAAATAAAAAAAGAAGAGAGTAAAGAGAAAATAAGAAAATAAAATTGTAAAATAAAATTAAATAAAAAAAGAAGAGAATAAAGAGAAAATAAGAAAATAAAAATGTAAAATAAAATAAAATAATAAAAGAAGAGAATAAAGAGAAAAGAAAAAAAGTAAAAAAGAAAAGAAAAAGTCATCGAAAATAAAAAAAAAAAATTTCTAGATTCTCGGATCATGCCTCGCAGTGGCTCTCGCCGAACCAATTCACATTCATTATGACACAACGCACTATCATGGACCACCTGCGCCCCTCGACAAAATTGGCAGGGTCATTGACACACCGGAAGTGGCACACGCAAAAGCAAAACATTTAGCCATTTTTGAAGCCGAGGCAGCGAAAAGTTCATATTCATCGGGTGGTGGCGATGATGGCGGAAGTTCCGGTGGTGCTTCCGAGAAACATCCACTTCCTCATCATCATCATCACATTGAGCATCATTATCATGGTCCACCAGCTCCATTGGATCATCATGGAAAAGTCATTGACACAAAGGAAGTTGAACACGCGAAGGCCGCACATTTTCATGCCGTTCAAGAGGAATTGGCCAAGATCAAACATTCCGAACCACATAGCTACTAAATAATGGGGAACATTCCCCCCCCACCCTTCTTTTGATGATACTCAAAATATTTCCATTGAAATAAATTTTTTTTTTTTAATGGAAAGAAGAAACCCCACGGTTTACTGGAATTGGAAAATAATAAGACACACTCGTTTTTGTTTAACTATTTTTTTTTACTTAGATCCAAAGAAATCGTTGATGGCTCCTTTTTTCTCAAAAAAAAGAAGGAAAAATTTGGGGAAATTTGAGGAAAGAGAAAATAGAAATCTGTTTATCGTAACTTTACAACTGATTCTATTTTAATACTTTTTGACAATTTTCTCCGAAATTTTCCTCGAGTTTTGAATTTTTTTTTATATTCACTGAGGTGAATTTGTCTTGCATTACCAAAAAAAAGAAAATTCAGGCTCGATTTCCTTTTTTTTTTGATAAATAAGAGCAGGGAGGCGATATTCTTTTGCGATATATAGAATTGTTGGTAATGGGTGTTATTTATAATTCTGAGACCAGAGCTCGTCTATATTTTATTTTTGTACCGTCTTTTGAATAAAAAAACAACAGAACATAAAAGAAGTTATTTTCCTCTATAATTATTTTTTCCTTTTTTCGCTTTTCCGTCTTTCCGTCTTTCCGTCTTTCCTTTTTTCCGTTTTTTGTGTCAAAAGAAAATTTTCTCCTTTTTCACGAGGCGGAAAAATTTAAACTTTTATATTCTACTTTAATTGTTCCAAAATTAAATATTTTTAATACAATTTTAATAAAATTTCTCGAAGCAATAACAATTATTTTTAAAAATATTATTCTTTAGTTAATTTCAACTATTCTTGAAAACAATTCAATTATTTTTATAAATTGTAAAATTCATGGCAGGAATTCAATTATTTTTGTAAATAATAAAATTCTTCTGAGAAATTCAATTGTATTGAAAATATTCAATACAATTTTAATAAAATTTCTAGAAAAAAATTCAGTTATATTCAAGATAATTTTAATAATTGAACAGGATCAATTATTTTTAAAAATTGTAATAAAATTTTTCTTAATAATTCCTTTTTTTTAAATTTTAATAAAAAATTTTAATTCTTAATTTCTTAATCAAAATTTTTTGTAAATTTTAATTATTTTCAAAATTTTTAATTAAAATTACTTTAAAAAATTACATTATTTTTACAAAATTTAATGAAATTCTTCAAAAAAAAAATTCAATTATTTTCAACTATTCTTGGCAAGAATTCAATTATTTTTATAAATTGTAAAATTCTTGGCAAGAATTCAATTATTTTTGTAAATAATAAAATTCTTCTGAGAAATTCAATTATTTTCAAAAGTTTTAATTAAAATTACTTTAAAAAATTACATTATTTTTATACAAAATTTAATGAAATTCTTTAAAAAAAAAATGTAATTATTTACAAAAACTGTAATAAAATTTGTTTAAAAGAATTTAATTTTCTCTGAATAATTTTAATATAATTTAATTAGGAAAATCGTTAATTACAATATTAGAATAAAATAGAATAGAATAAAAGTAAAATATCTAATTTTTTTTGTATGAAACTTAAAATTTCAATTTAATTTCTTTTTTTCTAAATTTATTTATTCTAAAATATATTTTCTAATCCGTTTTGTCTAAAGAAGCGATTTTCAAAAAAAAGTTTTTCTAAATTGTTGAGTAACAAATTCTTAACAACTATTGATAAATTTTTAGTTATCGATGGTTGGTGAGTAAAAATTTCTTAGCAACGATTTTTTTTTACAATAAAAAGAATTAATTTTCCATTCATTTTAATTTTTTAAAATCAAAATTAGGTAATTTGTTCCTAAAAAGCAGAAAAAAATTCGATTTTCTATTGTATTTAAATTTTTTAAAAGTTAGTACTTAGCAATCGTTAAATTTTTTTCCTTCAGCAATTGTTGAGTCAAAAATTCTTAGCAACTAAAAATTCGTCACCTAGAATCAATTGCTAAGCAATATTAGAAAAATAGAATAAATAATATTTAACAATTTTTTTTCTTTACATAAAAATGGAAATTTTTTTTTTTTTTAGTTTCAAAAGCATAAAATTTATTATTTCAACATTCGAAGATTTAAGAAATTATAAAAAATAGACATTTAAAAAATATAGATTAGACAGTACTTGAAAATTTTATTCGACAAACGTGATTTTATAATAAAACTTTTAGATAAATACCCGATATGCAATTTACTGTATTATTAATTTATTATCTTCTTTAGCCAATGTCAAAGTTATAAATATAACTGTTTTAAAAGTTTGAAGAAAAGAAAGAATATTATTTACACTTTTGTTTATGTGAGAAAAAAGTATTGGTTGCTTAAATATCATGAAGTTATTTAAATTTTTAATTTTGGTCATAGTGAGCATTATTTTAAATTATCACCGTACCGATGCACGTGATGTTGTTTTAGAAGAAAGGAAAGTCTTTTTCTCACTAATTGAAGCATATCGTAGGTTAAAATTTTTTTTGAATAATTTAAAAAAACATGTAGATAATTTTGGTTTTTTTTAAATTAATTATATTGTCATTTTATATAAATTTTTGCAGTTAATTGCTATTATCTAAAACCATACAGATTGCCAAGGGACAGCAATACTGATTTTCTATACAGGTGTACAATAAGTAGAATAGGTTTTAAATATAAAAGGCATGCTCGAAGTAAGTATATTTTTATATGAAATTATATTAATAAAAAACAGCAACATAGTATAAATAAATGTTGATTAATTATGTTGTCTGCTTTTATTTTTTTTAGGATTTTGTATTAAAAGGGTTAGCAATGGATACGTTTGTGTATAAGGAAGATACTAGATTAAAAAATAAGATTTAAAAGAAAATTAATAATTTGAAAAATATAAATGGAAATAACAGAAATGGCACATTTTTTTAAACAAGAAAAATTATACAGTTTTTTTATTTTCAGTAAAAAAGTTGGTGAATTGTATTAATTAACCTATTGTATTTTATTAAATATAAAATAAAATATGTAATAAAATCGACAAAATATGTATCTTGAAAAAATTATTTTTGCTAGTTTAAAAACTTTCTTTTTCAAAAGTAAAAATTTTTATTCTATTTCGACCATATGAAAATTTGTTTCAATGAAATTTGATAAAACTTTTAATTTTTTTTTCAATGCATGTTTTAGATTATTTTCGGGAATTCAATTCTCTTTAAAAAAAAATGTTCAATTTTTCAAAAACAAAATTCTTTGAAATGTAAAAGTTATTTAAATGAAATTTTAGAATGTTTGCTATTTTTTCAAAATTTTCTTACAATTATTTTTGGGAATGCAACTATTTTCAAAAAATGTTAATTACTTTTTTTTAAAAACCTCATTTTTTTAAAGAATTTTTGAATTAAATTTTTCAAATTTCAATAATTTTTTATAATTTTTTTGGAAAATAACAAATTTATAATTATGTAGGTATTTAAATTTTATTAATATTTCTATAATAAACATTTAATTATTTTCATGAATAATAAAAATTTCTTAGGAATTCAATTATTATTTTTATAAATAATAAATTTTTTTTAAGGAATTAAATTACTTTTCATAAAAAATAATTTAAAATTGTATTGAAAATAATTAAATTTTGACGAAGAATTTTACTGTTTATAAAGATAATTGAATTGTTCAGAAGAATTTATTAAAATTTTAGAAAATAAATGAATTTTATGTTAATATTTGAAAATTTAAATTCTTTCGAGGAATTCTATTAAAATTGTTTTGAAAAGAATTGAATTTCTCCAAAGGATTGTACTATTTTTATTATTGCGAAAAATTTTACTATTTATAAAAATAATTGAAATGTTTCGAAGAATTTATTAAAATTTTAAAAAATAATTAAATTGTTATGAAGAATTTTATAGAAATATTTAAAAATAATGAAATTTTTTCGAAAAATTCAATTAAAGTTATTTCGAAAATAATTGAATTTCTTTAAAGAATTTTATTAAAATTCAGTATATTCAAAATAATTGAATTCGTCAGAAGAATTTTATTATTTTTTGAAAATAATTGAATTCTTTCAATTTTTTTTTACGAATATATTTCAAAATTGCATTGAAAGTAATTTAATTTTTATATAGAAATTTTTTAAAAATATTTTGAGAATAATTGAATTATTTTTTAGAGAATTTTAAATTCTTGTTGAAATTGAATTTTATGGAAATTTTTGAATATAATTAAATTCTTTCGTGTAATTTTATTTAAATTTGATTAAACAAAATTTAATTCCTGCAAAGAATTTTAGTATTTATTAATATAGTTGAATTGTTTCGAATAATTTTTGAAAATTTTAGGAAATAATTGAAATTTATGGAAATATTTAAAAATATTTGAATTCTTCCGAGAAATTCAATTAAAATTGTTTTGCAAATAATTGAATTCCTGAAAAGAATTTTACTACATATTTATAAAAATAATTGAATTTTTCCGAAGGATTTATTAAAATTTTAGAAAAAAATTGAATTTTTTCGAAATGTGCTAAAATTTAAAAAAAAATTGAATTTTTCCAAAAAGTTCAATTTTAAATTGTTTTGAATACCATTGAATTTTTGTAAAGATTTTACTATTTAAAAAAATATTATTAAAATATTATTATATTAGTAATAAATAAGGGATAAAAATTTTTTTTTTGTCAAAACAGTATTTATAAAAAAAAAAAAACAGTAGGAAAATAGTTAATTTTTTTTTGTAAAATCTCACAAAAATCAATGTTTACAAAAGTTACTTTCTAAAGAATAGAAAAAAATAAGAAACTTAGTAAAACGAGAAATTTGATGGTAGTGTTACTTAAACTTGATTATTTACATAAGAAAAATTTTTTTGTTTTTTATCTCGATGACCATTGTACACTGTCAAAGTAACTGATGTTTGTCGCGTTGTTGTCGTCATCATCATTGTTTTGTGAGACAAAAATTATTGGACATTGTAGTTTTTTACACACACAAACAATTATACTTTTTCACACATACACTTATATATATATATATTGTCATTGAAAAAAATTCTTATCGTTCGAGACACCGTTTAAAGATCATTGTGCACCCGTTGAAAGCACAATTACGCTCACATTGTTGTGCAGGACATATTCGACCTGATCGACGAACCAGGACGCAGGTTTCATGTTCAGAAGTTATTTCATCATTGCACATTGCACTCTCATTTCACACTGAATTCCACACGCAAAAAAAAATAGAAATTGAAAAAAAAATTTTTTTCAAATAAAAATACTAAACAATTAATGTCCCGTTAGATTAATATCGCAAAGAATCATTATCATAGTAAATAATTATATTACGGGTAGTAGATAAATGATGAGATAAACTGCTCCCTGACAAAAGGATATACATATATATTGACTTTGAATGTAATATATTGTTTACTTCAAAAAATATAAATTTTTTTAAATTTAGATTATTTAAGAAAAATATTTTTAAAAATTAGTTAAATT